TAATGTTATTTCTTTTTTAGGAGGCTGAGAACCTTATTTGCATGAAAGAGAATAGGTCTAGCATAGTATTTTCGAAGGCTTTGCCTAAAATATAAAGCAACTCAAAAGTTCGTACAAAATGAATAAGAGAAAAAGAAAATGAGATGATGATGATAATGATAATTTTGATTATCTCTATGGTATCATTATCTCGACCAGAGATTAGCATTTTTTGCTATATTCTTCAGGTGAAATTTCACAGGTGAGTGAAGTTCCTGTTACTATCAAATTTAATAAGAAGATCTTGGATAAAGATTCTGTAGAGTATCAAATGTTACATAATGACATGAAAAGAAAAAGGCTAGAATAGAAAAGTATTGCTTGAAAAAATAATCATGTAAAAATAGTCTGCTATTATTAGCATAGAAACGTCATGTATTCTTGAGCAAAGTCTTGATCTTTGTATTTATTTTTGCATGTATTAATAACAAAAAATTTTTTGGCAAAATTTGGACGACCTGAGGTTGCTGAAATCACGTGTTTTTTTATTTTGAATGTTTATATACATTATATTAGTTATATATATAGATCATATCATCACAAAACGTATATATTATTATTTCTTTTTTTTCAAATCACAGGGATGACTTAGAGGGTTCTTCCAGAACTGGAATATCATTCACTAGTAGAATGATTACTGATAAATAGGACTATACAATATGTGAATCGTATATATTCACATTATTTTTTGCAGGTATATCCTAATTTTATCTCTTATTCTGTTTATTTATTAAAGAAAATACTCAATATGAGTATACTGGTTACTTGCTGAAAATCAATAATTATTTTCATTTATTAATTAAGTTCCTGCTGAAAAAACTGAAAGTTCTGCTTAAAATAATGAAATACTCAAAAATATCATATTCTACACCTATTGAGAATGTGTTGAAAATAGGTGAAGAACTGATAATTAAGGTTAGAACTATTGAAAACATCTAAGATTCACCGAAAAAGGTAGCCAAGTTACTAGTATCTATGGAAAAAATAAGTTTAGATTTTATTGATAATAAAGAGCATAGTCTTCTTAAAGAATCATATAGAATTGAAATAATTCTGATTGAACATCTACGTTAGGAGTTCCAACTTTATATTCATCTAAAATATTGGTTTAATATGCTATATTATAAAGAAGCTAAAAATGATGAAGAGAAAAAAGCTGTAATAAAGATTGCTTGAGAATACATCAACAGCATGAGAAGTTCATACAAGCCTTCATTTCTCAAAACTTTGTTAACTTCTTATCCTTTGAGAAATTATTGCAAGTATCAGCTAACTTGCATTTTAAGTAAGTATTTATTTGATTGTTATGATAATATAAATTCAGACTCATATAATAATTTAAGTAATAATCCTCTTATAGAAAAAAAAACTGGTCCAAGTTATCATATAAATTATATAGAATCAGATATCTATTGCAATAAGGGCAAGCGAAGTACTGCACCTGTTAATTGTAATTGGTATACTGAGAATGAACGCCATGCAAGAACAGTAAAAAAGGATAATTAATATATTATCCTTTTACAAAAAAAACACGTTAGAAATCTTTTTATTTCACCTATTAACCATAGAACTAATAGAAGTCTAATTAAAGATATATCATTTGAGAATGGATCTTGAGAGATGCGATAAACAAATTCTTATTGACAATTTGTAAAAAGCCTTATCCAGTAGAATGCTTCGCTATTAATTTTGAAAGATGAGAATCTAAATCATCAAAAGACGAAAATGTAGTAGAATGTCATGGTCATTTTCACCTACATATTACTGAAGAGATAGTAAATAAAATAGAATGAAAGCATAATAGAAATGCTATGCTATGTATCTTACTATGCATGGAAAAGTTAATAATCCTATACAGTACAGCCTGAAGAATTGTAAAAAACTGAAAATATCGAGATTATCTGATTTAGAAATAGTTAGTATTAACCAAGAGTTGGTTGATTTAAACAAGAAGCTGGATAAAATGGATAAAAAACTCAATAAAAATTTGATGAAATGGATAAAAAATTTAATGAAAAGTTCAATGAAATGAATAAAAAGTTGTACACTTTTATAGAATTATCTTTAAGTTTGAAGACAGAGGATAGGGGTGTTATTAATAATTAATTTAATTTTCTTACCTTCAGTTTATAAGATGAATCTGATATTAATTTTTAGTTATTAATCTGTAAATAAGAAACGTCGTGTAGAAAAGATAATTAAAAAAAAAATAGTCAATATAAGTCCGCTATCATTAGCAAAGGGTCTCTACAAGACTATTACATAGATATCATGTATCCTGGGTAAAGTTCAGAACATTTGTATTATTTTTTCGCATGTATTAATAAAAATTTTTTAAAGCATTAAACAATTCCTTTCATATATAAAATTATTATTATTATTGATCATGTCAGTTAACAAAGTTAACACATCTAAACTTGAATTATTGAGACAGCATGTCATTAAACTTGAGGTTGAGAATGTAAAGCTTAAAGCATTGAGACAGTATGTCACAGTATTTGAGATTGAGATTACTAAGCTTAAGGTTAAGAAAGCTGAGTTTAAAGCCAAAAAAGTTGGATTTTTAAAATCTATCAAAAAATATTATATAGAATTTGAGGGTTGTATAGTAAAATTAAAACATTTTAGTTCGCAAAACCCAGACAATCTTGAGAGTATTGAGGCTTTAATTCATGATATTAAGGCTTAGAATGTAAGGAATAAATCAATTATAGAAGAATATAAAAAAGAACTGAAATCTAAAAAAAATCGCAAATTCTAGACTAGATGCATCCAGATAGCTAAGAAAATTCTTAATAAGGAATTTATTATCGAATATCACCCTCTTTTCCCAAATGGATTAGAGCTTGATGCTTTCTTCCAAAAATATTGAATTGCATTAGAGGTGCAAAGGGCTCAATATCAGCTTCATAGTATTAGCTGGTATAAAGGTGTTAAGAAACTCAAAGATATTGTTAATCATGATTGACAAAAAAGATGCATTTGTCTGGATAGTGAAATTTTTCTTATTAGGGTATGGTATGCAGTGATATACATTTTTGATGTTCTAAGATTTGTTGTCCCAGCTATATGTTCTAGCTATATGTCCTAACCTGTCTTACACTATGTCCAAATATCCCATCTGTTCTATCTATATCCCATCAGTGTCCCATCAATATTCTATGATAATACTGATGGTATGACCAAAACCCAGAAATTGTCATTCCAGAAAGGATATGAAAAATTAAGGAATTTGTTTATCTAGCATCTAAAAGTTTTGATATTCTATAATCAAGTCTTATAATATATATAACTTTACGATCGATATTTGTATAATTTTTTACGTATTACACTATGCTACTAAATAAAACAATCCTTCAGAATATGACTTTATTTGGCAATTAATATTTCACAATATTTATGCTAATTTACAGGAAGATCTTGATATTATTTATTTACTATTAAAATTAACATTATTAAGTTTCACTCTTTTTACTATTAAAACTAATATATAGCATTATTAAGTTTCACCCTTTTTATTCTTTATAGTAAAAGATAAATATTCTCTTTTTCATCATCATCATTACAAATAATGTACAAATTGTTCTGCTGTGCAATCATATGATCATTACATCTTTCAGATAGTTTTTTCATTCCTTCGATTGTTCCAAAAATTCTACATTGAAAAATTACCAAACTGATCAAATAGTTTTTCACAAGATTTTTATCGACTTGAGAATAAAGTGGCAATTGTATATTCATCAATGTGATGATTACTCTAAACCTGTATTTTGATTTGTCATAGTATAAAATCTTCAGATTGGTCTTTATTATTATTGTAATGGTAATTATAATGAGCATAATACTAATTATGATAGCGAATGATCAATTAAAAGTTATTACCATATAGCAACATTCCAAAATGGGATATATTTTGAATATCATCCATTAGATCACTATCGGCAATATTGGAAAATTGTAAGACAAGTTTTTCTTTTGCTCGTCATACACTTTGAGACATAAAACGAATTAATTTCTGACGATTATCTTCAGTTTGAATAGTAATAGATTAATATGGTAAACTAGTAGCTTTACCATACAAAAACTCATACAAAAAATCACCAATATAATACTGTGCCATCCAGTTTGGGATGTTTCATGATTAGAATGTAGTTTGTTGTATTTTCCGTTCAGTTGTCTTCATTTGACTTAACCATATGTCATAGTCTAAGTCAACTTTTTTATTTCTCTTCTCTGAAGTTTTTCGAGTCCTTATGAATAAATTTTTAGTAATATATAATTCTTATTAATTACATATTCACTATTCTATTCATCACATATTTCATTATTATATTACCAGTCTATTGCAATCTTCCTGTTTGAATCTTTAATTATATTGTATATGATATTATGCATAATCTCATAAATATGTGTATTTTTAAGGATTAAATAATCATCTTTTAGCTTATTTTGATATCGATTACAGTCTCACACTTCTTTTCTGTAAATTGATTTATATACATATATGATCAATAACATAAAAAGTGAAAATAATTTAGCGAATTGATGCATACAAGGATCGGTACATAATTTTGATGTATTTACACTCTTCTTGCTATCTTTCTGATTTTGAGATTTCTGATCATTTAATAAGCTATCGATCTACTTTATAAATTCTGTCATAAAACCCTTCCAATTTTGAACATTTTCATATTAGCTTACTTCTTTCAGTAAAGATTTTGATATCAAATCATTAATAATAGAATCAATTTGATCCAAGTCCAATATAAATGAGAGTAATGGGTTATTAAATAAGAACTTGATAAGGTCAATAGATTTCATTTTTTCTGAGATTCTGCGTATAATGTTATAAGTAGATTCACTTTAAAAAAAATAACAAAAAGTGGATAAATGATAATGGGTAAACATATGAACTCTTGAGAAACACTTACAGTTAAAGTTTCATATCGATTTTTTACTTCTTAGAGTAAAATTTGAGTATCTAGTTCTTCCTTTTCTTTTTGTTTGTTCTGTAAAATGGTTGATTTAGAGGATCCTTTAGATCTTGAAGTTCTTGAGAAGCTAGACGTCTGAGTTGTAACAGTTGTAGCAGAATCTAGTATTATGGAATGAATAAGGTTAGCATTATCTATGCTGAATAAAATTATTTAAATACTAAAAATGTAGTAACCTTCATCTAAAACAGTTTCCATATTATGTTCCAAATCTTTTTTGAGATCATCTATGAAGTAGTAATAGGTTATTCCACCGGTATTACTCATCACACCCTTCTATAATGTCTGAACTTCTTGAAAGTCTTTCTCTTTCTGGTGATTATTAAGAGAAGAAACTTACATCAAGAGAATTTTAAGAGTCCATAAGCAAAGTAAGCTGTATTAGGATCCTCTCAGGATCATGAGTAAAGCAAGCTGTACTAGGATCCAAAAGAGATACTATACCTGAAATTCAATGAGTTCACTCCATTTTTCTCTTAAATCTTCATTAACAATTTGGTCTTGAAGGTAAATATTTAAATCTCAACAATACAACTTGAACTTTTCTTTCTTTAATTTCAAACTCACTCTTTTGTTTTCATAATAATTTAAAACATAAAAATTCAAAAATGAAAAAGAAGATGGGTTTTGTTTTTTAAAATAATTGTTCATGTTAAAGAAATATGGTTTAAAATTATTTTTCGTGACATTTAAATTAAAATATAAGAAGTCACATAGATATACGCATTTTCACATAGAAGTATTTTGATTATGTGAGTTAAGGAAGTGAACACATCTGAAATGTGTGACAGGTTAACTTATATGGTAAGATCTGTACTATTTATCACCCTGTTATATCCAGGCAGTGAAGCATAATTACTAGTGTTCTGCAAAATCAGATCAGATCAGATTTGGATAAAATCTGATCTGATCTGATTTTTATTTTTCAGAATCTGAATCTGATCTGAATCTGACAGATCTGTTGAAATCCAGATCTAATCCAAATCTGACAGATCGAATCTCAAATCTGGATCTGATGGATCAGTTTAAATCCAAATCTAATCCGATTTAGATCTAAAATTTTTATTGAAAAATGATTTTTTAGCTCTAAAAGAGTTCTGAAAAGTCATTCCTTTACAATAAAAGGAACCTTTTCAGCTCTAAAAGAGTTTCAAAAAGTCATTTCTTTTTAATGAAAGGAAACGAATTTTCAGTTCTAAGAGATCCGAAAATTTTTTCTTTCAATAAAAGGAACCTTTTTAGCTCTAAAAGAGTTCTGAAAAGTTGTTTCTACTTAATGAAAGGAAACAAATTTTTAGTTCTAAGAGATCCAAAAAAATTTTCTTTCAATAAAAGGAATCTTTTCAGCTCTAAAAAGATCCAAAAAGTCATTTCTTTTTAATGAAAGTAAACAAATTTTTGGTTCTAAGTGGTCTGAAAATGTTTTCTTTCAATAATAGGAACCTTTTCAGCTTTAAAAAAACTCCAAATTCTTATTTTTCAGTTCTAAAGTTTAATCTAATTTAATAAAATTTTATGCAATATACAATAATTAAATTTTATTTCATAAATTTTATTATTATAAATA